GCAGTAATCTTTAAACTTTTCACAGGTATTTAGAAATTTTGTAGTAAAATATATAAGAAATAAAAATGATTGTCTCGTAAACACCAAATCGCGACAAAAAGTTTTTCTTTACCTATTAATAATTATAAACAATAAAATCGAAATTATATATATATATATAGAATATTGACAAGTTTTACAAGACAAAAATTCTTTTTAAATATATAACGAACAACACAGTGTTTATTGGTGAAAGTTAAACGAAAGGTTAAATTCAGAATCTTTAACAAGTTATCTATTTACGAGCTATAAACATTAACAAAACTTATATTTATTTTTAGGATGTTTTCGCAGGATGATAGAGAAACCGAAAATTTTGTTTCCAAAGCTGTTCAAACGTTAAAACGTTACGATCCAAACAAGTTTTCTTTTTTGTCTTGGCAAACTGATTTTTTGAATGTAGCGCAAAATCTCAATGTACCTAAAAGTAAAAAAACTGCACTTTTCTGTTCGATGTTAGAACCTAAAATCTATACTGCACTAAAGAAACATGTATTGCCTCGTCATCCGACACGTTTATCGTACGAAGATTTAGTAAAGAATTTAGAAACATGTCCTCCAATGATAAATACAAGAAATGTCCGTATAAGGTTCAAAGCACGAAAACAACGTGATGATGAAACAATAGAAATGTATGCTAAGAACTTAGAAAATATATATAAAAAGTGTCAATACAAATTTGTAGATGATAAAGTGTTAGTCGATCAATTCTTATATGGATTACGCAATCGTGAAATAGCTAGTCATCTTCAGAAAACCAGAATCAGGGTATACAAGGTGGCGGTAGGATGGGCTCTTGAATTTGAGGAAAAAGACATGGCCTCGACTAGTAGAGACTAATATTTAATGAAATCCGCAGGCTAACAAACAATAAACAAATAAAACGGAATAAGAAATTCTTATATCATTGTAATATTAAATCGTTGACACTTCACGAAGATAAATAATTAATCAAAGTATGCTGCAAAATCAGAAAAAAAAACAACTTTTTGACAAGTACATAAATGAAATTAAATGAACTCTAAGCTATTAAACAATAAACAAAAAAAAACAGGAAAAAAAAATCTTTAGTAAACGTAATTTTAAATCGTTCTAATTGCAAGAAGATAATTAATTACTAAAAGTATTCAACTTTAATGACATTTCCAGCGATGACGAAAAGTATTCAAAATAAATAAAATTGTGCAATGAAATATATACTTGCAGATTATCTCTGCTTAAAAACTTGACGTAAGTCAGGGTAAAAATAAGCAGCATGAAAGAAAATTGTGTCTTCCATTGAAAACAGCTATCCTGTACGTTATAAAGAAAGTTCATTGTTTTTGTTTTAAATATTAATTATACATTTAAAGAATTTTGTTTATACCAGATACATATAAAGTTGATATTCAAATTAAACGCCTTTAAGAGGAATACGAAAAATGATAATTGTTATTCACAGAATAATAATGAATGAAATAACAACTTTCTTTTTAATGAAAACATAAATTTTTAGTTATATTTACTTTGGGACTGAACTATCAGGAAACTCTGTATTGGTCTTTTAATTGACAGAAATTGCGATTATTGTAATGAAGAAATACTTCTAGCGATACGGACGGATTGCAAAGAAACGTTTCTTAATATAATAATATCAGAAATTTATAAACAAGTGTCACTGTTAAAGAGACGGTACGCAGAATCAAATAAGTAACCACCAATTTGAATCAAAACTGTTTATAAACATCAGGCCTATTATTGTATCAAGAAAAGTTTATTTTAGTACCGAAGTATCCCGTCCCTCCCCACTATTCTAATTATTTCTATCTTATTTAGGTGACAAAAATACTTACATTTTGAATTGTTTTAAGCAGAGATTTTTTAATTATCTATTTTTCAATTATGTCATCAGAATTATTCCTGAAAACCCAAAAAATGTGAAATAAGTAATGAAAAAAATTAGCTTCGCTAAGAACAAAAGTTAGACAGGATTAAATTTAAAACTAGTTTTCATTATTGCGATTGTTATGGTAAACTATACTACCAAATTTCTTCAAATAAAAAATAAATCGTCCTATAATTTTTTAAAAATATATTCAGTTAAATTCGAAATAATTCATTAATTAGTTTCGTTAATTATTTACTGAAACATTTTAAAAAATAGGTGCTTTACTTAAAAAATAATATTTTAATTTTATAAAGATTTTTAGAAATTTTGTAGGAAAATACAGAAGAGATATAATGATTCTTAAACATTGAATCTTCGTATTTTATTTTACAGGATACTTTTCCTAAGAATAACATAACGTAATCGTATATAAAGTTTTTAAATGTATCTTGTTTTCTATTTCGATTTTTTCTATTTGTTATCTATTTCCACATTTAAACTTGTATAATATAATTTTAATTGTTTATTGTAATAATTAGCTAGCATATTATTATCTATGACAAGGATTAATGTAGGGAGTGGGAAATCCAACCTTTCTCACTCCTACCTAAATTCAATAAAGTTTGAATATTGGATGGTGCATATAAAGTGTCGAATTTTCTTTAAACGTGAACTTTTTTCCCCCTATTGTCGTTGTTTTTTGTTTATGGTAGTACTGTCCCTTGCCAGAGTCACATTTCAACAAAGTAGATTTTCTCAAATTCTTCTATTTTTAAAATTTTTCTGAATTTTGTTAAGATATGAATTTAACCGATATTCGTGTAATTTTCATATATAAAAATGAACTTGTTCATAATGCTGCATAATGTGCACGGAATGTAAATCAGACGTTTAGCAAACAAAATTTAAACATATAAAAAAAAATAAAAAAATCCTAAATCTCTGTAATTTAAAATCGTCCAAATTGCAAGAAGATAATAATTTACTAATAGTATCCTACTTGATGAAATTTCCTGCGAGTACAGAAAGTATTCAAAACAAATAAAATTTTGCAATGAAATATATACATGCAGATTATCTCTGCTTAAAAACAATATGTAAGAAAGGGTAAAAATAAGCAGCATGCGACAAAATTGTGTCTTTCATTGAAAAAAAATATCCTGTATGTTATAAAGAGCGTCCATTGTTTACGTTTTGAATATTATACATTTAAGGAATTATGTCTATACCAGATACATATAAAGTTGATATTTAAATTAACCATCTACAAGAATAATACGAAAAATGGTAATTAATATTCACAGAAAAATAATGAAAGAATTAACAATGTTCTTTTGAATGAAAACAAAAATTTACGTTTATATTTATTTAGGGACTGAACTGTCAGGAAACTCTGTTTTGGTCTTTTAATTACAAAAATTGCGATCATGGTAATGAAGAAATACTTAAAACGATACAGACGGATTGTAAAAGAACATTTTTAATTAAAACAATAACAAGATGTTATAAACAAGGAAAGGTGGAACGTACGAAAATAAGTAACCACCAATTTGAATCGGTACTGTTTATAAACATCAGGGCTATTATTATATCGAGAAAATTTTATTATAGAAGCGAAGTACCCGTCCCTTACTGCTTCTCTCTTAATCCTTATCTCATTTTAGTAGAAAAAAAACTGGCTGTTAGAATTTTGTAAAGCAGAGTTTTTTCATATATCTAAGTCAATTATGTCATTAGATTTATTCCTGGGAAGCTAAAACTGTTCAATTAGAAATGAAAAAAA